GGGTTTGAACAGCCAGCCTTCTGGTTAGCAGTCAAGTGCCTTAGGCACTACACTACCAGAGCTCCTAATGTCTAGTAGCAGAGGCAAAGAAGCAAATGATTACAGTGTCAAGGTAGACAGAGGTAAAGTATAGGTTAAAATTTCTTATCATTACATTTGAGCTGATTTCTAAAATAATCTGCTTTCTCTTCTTCTGCAATGCTTTTGTCCTTTCAGATGTTGATATTTTTAATTTCTTTTGGACATTAAAATAGTGTCTTTATGGTTATTGTTTTAAAGGTCATTGTGATGTCTTGTCTTAGAAATCTGAGCTATTTGTTTTCAACAGATACTAATCTTCCTTAAAACTCATTTACACTACACTGATTTTATTCTAAATACAGTATTTACAAGGAAAACATAATACTACCTATTTACTCAAACTGTCTTTGATCAAAAAGGCATATGGTTTCACTCATGTTTACTTTATAAAACAGGAAGACTTGTGACAGCCTTCCCCAGGGGTCTCTGCCTTTATTCCATTTTTAAAAGCTAGTCCACTCCCATGATTTCAACTACCAGTTAAATCCTCATGACTGCCATATTCTATGTTGAATCTAGACCTCTCCTTTTAATTCCATATTCACGTAAGCAACTGTCTGCTGGACACTTTTAACATTATGTCCCGCAGGTACTTCAGTTTCAACATGCCCTGAACAGAATTCACCATCTTTCCTTTCTTGAACTCATGTTGATAAGAGGTTGATAAATTACCCAAGCCAACTGCTCATAAATTACCTTAGAATCTTCCCACTGATACTCTTCCCCTATCAACCAACTGATGAGATGATTCTAGTAACTAACTCCTCTAATATGCATTACCTTTTCCTTCCCCATAGTTGTTGCTTTAGTTTAGGTCACTGGTGTTCTCGTAAACTAGCTTTCTGAAAAGGAAGTCCCAATTTGTAGTGTTTGCCAATTTCTGTGGTATAAATACTCCCTCCATGGCTGATTTCAAGGTGCCAACATGATGTCACTGACCCAGAAACTGGGAGGAGATGCTCATAATCAGCTCTCCAAGCCGGTACTAGCTGGCTTTTCTATGTCCCTGGTTCAGGCTCTGCCATCTTTTCCTGAACATACAGTGGTTTTCCTACCAAGTTTATGAAAATGCAACTTCCATTTATTCATTTACTTGTTGAATGTGTATTTAGCACTCTATCCCAGGCAGGCATATGTGCATACTTGACACTTCCAGTGGCTCCTGATTATCCACAGAATGAAGTTCAAATTCTCATATTCAACATGCAAGTCCTCCATGAACTGGTGGTCCTTCTGCATTCTCCATAGCTTCATCTCTTATTTCATCCTTTCTTGAAATAATTTATGATTTTATTACCCATTTATTATTCTGTTTTAAGAGATATATCAAACAACTTCATTTGGCTCCGAATCTACCATTGTTTTTTGGGTGATGTATTATAGAAATTACTAGGTAGGTATACAGGCTTAAAAGTAAGACAAATCTTAATACAGAAAAAAATCTCTTGGACCCAGAGAATTCTCCTTTTACAATGGGGGCAATAATGGTTGATTCTT